AGTGGCTTGAAAACGACGGAACGACATAACCTTTGATATTTCAGGACAACTTAAAAAACTGTCACTGCTCCAATACAGGCACATTTGATGTCTGGGGTTTGTGCTCATCGGCAGAAGTATGCCAAAGTATGCACAGAGTTCATTAATTGTAAGCTCTTTCCAAAGCTGTCGGCCTTTCTGTTTGGCAAAGCGGTTTTTCTCAGTCACCAGTGTATTCATGATATCTTCGTCAAAATAAAGAGCAAAAGCTCCACAAGGCGTCGTCGGGAGATTTGTACTGTAATGTGGGTCCCAAAATTTCAAAACACGAATGACGCTGCTATGCCAAGCCCCAACCTCCTCCTTTTCGACTTCTGCTTCGTCGCAAATTCTAGGCACTTTCTTTTGCTTCCTTTTCTTTCTTGAATAGGTAGCCTTTCGCTTTTGTGGGTTCCTCGTTGATTCCGCCACTTCGGCTACACTGCTTTGCTCATCTGAATCAGGCGGAGCGAGCTCGGGTTGCGAAGTCTTCATCCGTACCTCTGTCGGAATCACTCGACGTAGGGTCGTCAGGAAGGCTTAAATATAATTCCAGCGCTTCCTTTCGCATCAGCAATTGTTTACCTGCGTGCTTACAAGCAAACAGAAATCAAAATAGTCGGTGAAATCTTCCACTACACATCGAATGCAGGCAGCGGTGGCAGTAAGCTTATCCCATCGTCATGCAGTTTTTGCCTTGGCACCGTTCGAATAAGCTTTTATGAGTAAGTATTCCTTCTATTGTTTAAAACACCCAATTATTACAAGCTGGAACTATTTCTTTCAAAGCACAGAAAAGGGTATACTCACTTCTCATCTTGAATTATTCTTTTCTGGAGACTCACAATGCGGAAATTTGTGCCGCCAAATAAAAACAAAAAACACAAATTTGAAAATAATGTACACCTAGCGCTACCTATTGCGCAGATTCTAAACATGATTCAATAGAAGTGTAAAAAGCTCATTGTAGATGGCACAATAAGCTTGATGCGTCCTATTGTTTTTCACGAGCAATTCAGTGGGGAACAAAAATGGGACAGATATTTCCCGTTGCCCTACAAGGGGTTAAATACACCCTAACGTTCGCGGGACGTCTATTGTAGTTGCAGTGCAGGCTACCCAATTTTATAAATATGTCATATGTACAGTGGCGATTAAAATATTGCGGACCACAGGAACGCGTGTCAAAGAGTACCGAGGCGCCTTCTGATGGCGGCCTGCGAAGCTCGAGAGCGCGCTTTGCACGCGCGCCCTTTTTACCTGCCAGTCCACTCGTTTGCTCTCTTCGACAGCGCGTGGACCGGAACCCCAGAAGAAGTGCAAGGTGTCACTCCTGCTGTCGACGTGGAAACACCGAGCGATAATATCGGGACGAAAACACATAATTCGTATTGGCAGTGCTTGGTGCGCACTGCTTCCTGCGCCTCTGTCCCATACGCTCCGTTATGTTGGAAACATGCCTGTCTCATAAATTTTTCGAAAACCAACCTTTGTGATAAAGTTTGCGTGCTGACTACCAGAGTGGCACCTAGCGCTTCTATTAGCGTTCCGGTGCGTACGCGGTTGAATTGAATGAATGGGCAGGCTGGTAGGTAAAAAAATGGCAGGATATTGACGGAGCGAATGATGGAGAGTTGGGCGAAGCATTCTTCCGTCTATTCATTCTTGCTTTCGTCCGTCCATGCGTCCGTCTGTGTGACCGTCCATGTGTCCATCCGCCCGTCCGTGCGTGCGTTTGTTCGTGCGTCCGTCCCTGCGTTCGTCCATGCATCCGCCCCGGCGTTGTTCATGCGTCCATCCATGCATGTGTCTGTGTCCGTTCGTCCATCTATTCAACACTCCAAGTACCACCATCTCGCATCTTTTCATCATATATTCCGCATATAGAAGCACCGCCATCCATCGGACATTCCAAGGACTAAACGAGAGGTGGCACACGCACACTTTCTTATGGCTTGCGCTTCGGGTGTACTTCCCACCTTTAATCACCTCGAGTTCAAGATATTTACTAGTTCACTGTATTCATGGCACTGCGGCCCAACGCTCGCTACACTTATCTAAAACCAAGTTGGTTACGCCCAGCCAGTATAACGTAGCAACCATTTCCTGTCAGATAGTGCTCAATGTACATGCCAATGGCTGCTAATGGGAAATTAAAGACACTAGCTTTGTATTTCTTTATGTTCGTAGAATATAGCGATATCGTGTAAGAAATTTAAATGATGAATACACGCAATGAGTACTGGCTATGCTGAATTCCAGGAAGGTGAGCGAGTTGGTTTCGGTTCAAAATGAAATATGAAAGGGCAGTCATTAGACGAATTAATTAGACGAATTCAAAACACGAAGTGACGAATGTCCTGCGCATGTCCTGTCGTCATCTCGTTCAAGTGCTGTCCCAGTTCATTTCGCAGAATACGGATTCCTTAAGCTCTGCGTTTCTTCGCACTTTATCCAGTGACTAAAGTGAAACAAAACGAAAAAGAACCAAAGGTTTATTGCTACTGACGGCACCAAGACTGTCAGTCATATTGTGCTCTGCTACTTCTGTGACGCTCGCAACTGTTGTTGTTAGAAGCACACGATGCCAAATTCCTAGTCATTGCGTGATGATAAAAATACAATACAGCCGCGCTCCACATATAATAGATATGTTTCGGGTGAACTAATACTTCAGGTGAACTAACCTCAGTGCCAGCTTCGCTCTATACCAGCGCTGAAGCTGGCACTGAAGCTGGCACAGCGAGTTTTGTTGTGTAAACAATGTTCTGTGAAACAATCGGCTTTCTTGTATTTTGTTTATCGGCTCATGTTGTAGCCAGTAACGACAGGGAAGCAGAGAGATCCCCAGAAGGAATGTGAAGAGGCACAGCCACTGTTGAGAATAAGGTAACGTCTGAGCTGCTGAAAGACGGTGGCGAGATTGCGTTAGAAAACCTAGCCATACTGTATACGAAGTGTGTCTTGACGGGAAGTGTGCCTGATTGTTGAAACAATGCCAACATTATTTCAGTTTATAAGCAAGCGGACATGAACGAACAAAAAAATTACAGGCTGATGGATTTGGTCTCTATTGCCCAAAACCTAATAACAAAAATATTAGGCAGTACAATTAGGACATTATGGTTCAATGAACCAAAAGACAAAGCAAAATTTTGTGCAGACTACTTAACAATAGGCAATATCCATACTCTCAACCCGGTGACAGGGAAATGCGCATAAGAGGACGAACTTTTACACGCAGTTTTCATAAATTACTAAAAGGCATTCCGTTCGGTCTAGATAACTGTGATGAAGGCACTGCATAATCAGGGCATTGACGAATACTATATACACATATTGAAAAAAGTCTACAGTAGATCCACCAGCCCCATATTTATCTATATAGAAAGCGACAGAATACTACTCATATTTATTGGCGTTTAACGTGTCAAAATCGCCATGTGATTACAAGCGATGTCGTAGTGAAAAGCTCAGAAAATTTCGACCACCTGTGGTTCTTTAACGGGCAACTAAATCTACGCCCACGGTCCTCAGGCACTTTCGCCTCCATAGAAAATGTGGCCATCGCGGCCGGGATTCGATCCGACGACCTGCGGGTCAGCAGCTGATTGCCTTAGCCACTATACCCCTATGGCGGATGACAGAATCACAAAGAAGGATGTAAGGCAGCGAGACACGATCTCTCCAATGCTGTTCACCACGTCCTTGCGGGAGCCTTTCGTGGTCCTATATTGCGAACAGTTAAAAACCAGATGCACTGAAATGTATTATTATCCTGTGATTTGCCGATGACATCGTGTTGACAAGTTACTCACGGGACACATGCCAGCTCATGATTACTGAACTAAATAAATGAAGTCTGAAGTGAAGGTCTGAAAGTTACGTGTAAAACTAAAATTATGGGCAACAGTTTCGGCAGAGAACAGCGCTTTGCGTTAGGTGGCGAGACTGAAAGCTGTAAAGGAATGCATCTACTTATATCAGCTGCTCACATAAACGACACCGTGAGAATAAAATAAGTAGAATAATAAGAAGCAGGGGGAGCAGATCTCTCACATAATGAATATTAATCTACCTCTATCCCACAAGAGGAAAATATATAAAAGCTGCATCTTACCGGTACTTACCTGCAGAGCAGAAATTAGGAGGTTCGCAAAGAGTGTTCAACTTAAGTTGAGGAAGATGCGGTAAGCAATTGAAAATAAAATGATGGGTATAACCTTAAGAGACTTCAAGGGGGCAGAGCGGGTCAGAGAAAGAATGGGGATAATTTATGCCATAGTTGATACCTAGAAATTGACATAGGCTGGACACATAACACATAGGCATGATAATCACTGGTAATTAGGGCTGGCCGCTTTGATTCCAGGAGAAGGCATACACGTGAACGGGCGAGAGTGAATTAGGCGGGCAGATGAGATTTACATGTTTGTTGATATAAAGTGGCAGCAGAAAGCACAGGACAGGTTTTATTGGCGGAACATGGGAGAGGCCTTTGCTTTGCAGTGGGTGCATGAGACTGCTGCTGATGACGATATTGCGACAGTTCTTGTTGTAGAGCAATAATATGTCGTAAAGTCGTTCAGCAATGCAGCAGTGTAACAAATCATTTGCTTATATCAAGTGTTCGACATTAACACTGCAGCTCTAATTAGGAACGTTTTCTAGCGTGCCTCAAAATTAAAATAGAGTGGAATGCTATTCATGATACAAGTTCATTTTCTATATTTCATCAAGCATAGCAGTGACATAATTATCATTCTATAAATACTGTTGAAAAATTTGATAACATATATGTTGAATGCAAGCAACACTTGAGTTTACTCAGATCTTAACAAGTCATCCAAAGAAAGGAGAAGTTTATTTATGTGTGCCGTTTATTGCATGTGCGCTTTATAAATTTAAAGGAAGTAACTCATACTAAGCCTATTAATTCAATTCGTTGAATAGAATTTTTCAACAGTTAAAAAGGGACGTACGTGCAATTTGGCAGTAGATTAAACTCGACAGCATAGATGTGATCAGAACGGCCAGACGAACATGGTCCATCGTCAGAGATAATCACTGGATACCTGCATAATAAACAAAGAGACTCAAATAGATGTGTTGGGACACGAGGCTCACTGTCACACAGGTCCCGTTAATTAGGGAGGTGATCGCCGGGCTAATTCCAAGGGCCGAAGTATCGGCCCCCCGAACCGCACCGCGAAAGCGTGGACAATTTAGAAGTGGTCCTATTTGGCGCGCCAGCGGACGCCGGCTGTGGCCCAAAGAACAAGTCAGAGCCGAGAGTTGATAAACAAACGAAATTATATTCTCAATAGTGGCAGATCGAAAACGATACACAAGTATGCACACTCCACAATAGTTGAGTACAATATGTTACCAATCAAACAACGTACTACACAGTACAATCAGCCACACTCGAAACAATAGACACAGACAACGATACGCGCTACAATGCAGTCGCATGCATTGAACAACCAGGACACTTAAAAACTAAAGAGATAGAAAACCTATCCAGTCCAAAGTTCTTGGAACAAAAGTCTGGATGATACTCTTCCGAGAATCACTCACTCAAAGTCCCGCGTTGTTGTCGTTCCGCAGCCCCCGAAGTTTCTCTTCCAGGAAACCTCGCCGAAGTTTCTCTTCCAGAACACCTCACGTCTTCAATAGGCCATTCTTTAAGCTTCAAACTTCTTCGCCGGAAACACGTCGGCTTCACACACGCAGCTGTTTCCACGCGTCTTCGCTCGATAGCGGCAAACACACACTCTTGTCTGTAGCTCGAGTCGTCACCCCTCAGGTGGAAATCCTCTTCTCCTGTTTTGTCTCTACGGACAAAACCTTCGCCGACTACACGGCGGAACCCCTACGCGCTCTGGCGCTAACTCCCGTCTTCTCCTGATCTCTCACCTCGGCTGCTCGATTAAATACCCTCCGCGCGAGATTCCAGAAAGTTCTCGTCACTTCGTCGGCGCGATACGCAGCGAAAGCTGGGGAGAGGGCGAGACGGCTCGAAGGCCGTCCACGATGGATGACTCAACCCGGCCTCACCACGCCCCCTTCCATCTAGAAAGCTTGAGTGCTTGCTCGGCCGCCGTTGTGCAGTGAGCAGGTTCGTCGGCGAATCTACGCTTCCGAGGGAGAGAGTCGCGCCCGGGGAGTCTGGATGTTTGTTTTCTTTTTTTTATCGTTGACTTCGCGGCGTCACTCCGGCGTTTCGTCGCGAGAAGTTGGCGGCGTGCTCTTTTTGAGCGCTCGTTCTGTGACACTGCCCCCCACTTTAGGAATATTATCTCATAATATTCAAAACCACACAAACGAGCGCGAACAGTCCCGACACTCTCAAGGACTGCAACTTAGTCCGTCGCTCTTGACACGTCACATTCACAATAGATCACTCAATGCGATTGTACATTGTAATTCAATCTCACATCACATGAAATATAACCACAGGTACATGAGTACAACACTCTACCACATATTCCAAAATATACAAATGTACAAAGTTCTCTCATTACAAGAATAGTACCATACTATACATCACGTCACAGCACATACACTTCGACACTTGTGACACAGGATAACAAGAACATTAGCACAACATATGGAACTCAGCCCTGCCAAACACAATTCGATTCCACCTCAGCACCTATCCTGAGTACTTCGAGCTGCGCTTGCGCCCTTTTTGCAGTGCTCGCTCGTCCTCTTCTTGTTTTTCCTCGTTCTTTTTCGGCGAGCCCTTTCCAACGACGGTATCTGAGGCGGCGTCTCAGCCATCGTTGTAACTTCCGACACTGCTAGCGGGTCATGACGCTCAACCGATCCTGCCCGGTTATTCACCCACTTGTTCATGTCACGACATTGGGCCTGGCTTGCCGACTGCGTCACCTTTACACTGTCGGTCGGTTGAGGTCATGCCGACGTACGTCCAGCTGCCCAGCACGTGAGCTCATTCAACACGATCATCTTCTCATTCACTGTCTCTTGCACCGCGGCTTCACCTTGGACTCTTGTGAGATCCGTCATAGGCTGCTCCTCCACTGTATCTCGTGGTGGCTTTGTTGGCGAGGGCTCTATCTTAGGGTCTTCTCCCAAACAATCCGGATCATTCGGTCCTCACCCCCGTCGATGTTTCCGATGACAAGGTCGCACATGGGGTCGTCATGCATAAAGCAGTAACCCTCCCGCTGAAGTACGGGGTTTCAACATCAATCTCTGCTTCGGGAAGCATCTGAACCGTACGGTCAAATAGGCAAACCGGTTTCGTTCTGCCTGTCAACTCAATTTCCCGTACCGAATTTCTCCGCACGATAACCGTGGAGCTACCGGTGTCTCTTAGAGCGGTAATCTTCTTGCCTGCAACCTTTCCAGGCAGCGTTGGCATTCCCTTCTTAACACCGGTTGGCTGTTTTGCCATTACAGCACCCACAATAGGAATTTTCTCCCCATTTTTCAACTCTACGAATCCATCTGTGACGGCATTATTACCGGATTTCGGTGCCGCTTGCACACAGGATACATGGTGAGTTTGACTCGCTCCGTTTCGACATGCGTCTGCTTTGTGCCCAGTCTGACCACACTTGAAACATTTTACAACCGTGGGGCTCGTAAAGATCGTTCGACAGTTTTTCGCGCGATGACCCACTCGGTTACACAGAAAACATCGCGGAATGCTTTCTGGTGCACGCTTCTTTTCTTCGGGAGCCGATTTCTTCGAATCTTCAGGGCACTCCTTCTTGACCTTGGCCAAATTAGTTCCACCTTGCGCTTCCCGGAATTGATCAGCCAATTCAAGCATTCCTCCAAGTGACTCAGCCTTCCTCTCTTTCAAGTACAGCGACAGGCTTGGATGGCAACTAGTAAGAAATTGTTCTCTAATTAGGAGCTCTCTAAGTTCATCGTACGCCTGCGCTGTCCCTGAAAGTTCAATCCATCTGTCGACATAATGGCAAAGTCGGGCGGCATACTGCGTAGCCGTCTCACCATCAGCTGGCTTTCCTGTCCGAAATCTGTCCCGGAATCCTTCCACAGTAAATCTAAATCGCTTCAGCAAAGCAGCTTTCACCTTTGCATAGTTGGCTGCATCGGTCGGCGTCAGCCTACCGTACACACTGAGCTCTTCACCACTCAATCAAGTACTCAGAGCAGTTGCCCATTGATGTTCCGGCCAATTCTGGCTCCTCGCAATCGTCTCAAATGGGTGAAGGTACGCGTCAAGGTCGTCCTTCCTTCAATCAAACGCTACGAGCAGCTTGCTTGGGTTCAAGCGGACGCCTTGGTCTTCCCGTTCGCTGCTTTCAACTTTAGCTTGGACCGGAGTTTCACTTCGCTGTTGCAAACGGAGACGCTCGAGTTCCATCCCGTGCTGTCGCTGCCGTTCCCCTTCCTCTCTTTTTTCTTTCGCCCTATCAGCTGCCAGTCTTTTTTTCTCCAGCTCCAACTTCAATTGCTGCTCTTTTTTTTCTTTCAGCTCTGCTCCCTTGTCTCTCTTTCTTCTCTCACCCTTTCAGCTGCCAACTTTTCTCTCTCCAGCTCCAACTTCAATTGCTGCTCTCTTTCTTTTTTCGCTCTCTCAGCTGCCAACCTCTCTCGCTCCAACTCAGCTGCTTTTTCTTCCTTGGCCCTCTCAGCTGCCAACCTCTCTCTCTCCAACTCTGCTGCTTTTTCTTCCTTGGCTCTCTCAGCTGCCAACCTCTCTCGTTCCAACTCCGCTGCTTTTTCTTCCTTGGCTCTCTGAGCTGCCAACCTATCTCTCTCAAACTCTGCTTTCTTCTTCTGGCTTACCCACTTCCGTAGTTCGCCGCCAGAAAGACCCATCTTCTCACCAAGAGCTACTAACTTTTCGAGATCCATTTTGTCTCGCAAATAAAACCTTGCCGCGTGTAAAAAATATCTGCCTAAATCACTTTATCGGAACACTCCCCTGCGCTCGTTAACGAGAACACTGAACAACGCACAAAATCGTTCCGATAGCAGTATCAACAACTCGAGGCTCTTTCTCACTACTTTGGACACACTGTGCACCAAAAGGTCTTGTCGCGGACGCCAGATTAATTGTCACACAGGTTCCGTTAATTAGGTAGGCGATCGCAGGGCTAATTCCAAGGGCCGAAGTATCGGCCCCCCGAACCGCACCACGAAAGCGTGGACAATTTAGAAGTGGTCCTATTTGGCGCACCAGCGGACGCCGGCTGTGGCCCAAAGAACAATTCAGAGCCGAGAGTTGATAAACGAACGAAATTATATTCTCAATAGTGGCAGATCGAAAACAATACACAAGTATGCACACTCCGCAATAGTTGAGTACAATATGTCACCAATCAAACAACGTACTACACAGTACAATCAGCCACACTCGAAACAACGGACACAGACAACGATACGCACTACAATGCAGTCGCATGCATTGGACAACCAAGACACTTAAAGACTAAAGAGATAGAAAACCTATCCAGTCCAAAGTTCTTGGAACAAAAGTCTGGATGATACTCTTCCGAGAATCCCTCACTCAAATTCCGGCGTTGTTGTCGTTCCGCAGCCCCCGAAGTTTCTCTTCCAGGAAACCTCACGTCTTCAATAGGCCACTCTCCAAGCTTCAAACTTCTTCGCCGGAAACACGTCGGCTTTACACACGCAGCTGTTGCCACGCGTCTTTGCTCGATAGCGGTAAACAAACACTTTTGCCTGTAGCTCGAGTCGTCACCCCTCGGGTGGAAATCCTCTTCTTCTCCTGCTGTGTCTCTACGGACAAAACCTTCGCCGACTACACGGCGGAACCCCTACGCGCTCTGGCGCTAACTTCCGTCTTCTCTTGATCTCTCACCTCGGCTGCTCGATTAAATATCCTCCGCGCGAGATTCCAGAGAGTTCTCGTCATTTCGTCGGCGCGATACGCAGCGAAGGCTGGGGAGAGGGCGAGACAGCTCGAAGGCCGTCCGCGATGGATGACTCAACCCGTCCTCCCACGTCCCCTTCCATCTAGAAAGTTCGAGTGCTTCCTCGGCCACCGTTGTGGGATGAGGAGGTTCGTCGGCGAATCTACGTTTCCGAGGGAGAGAGTCGCGCC